AGAAATGACAAGCCAACTTGTATCAAACATTGGTTGGAATTTTTCCTTGACCTTCCCACGCCTGTTCATGGATATATAGAATAGCTAGCCCAAAATGCTTCAACAAAAAAAAAACTCAATTCTTTTTAGAAGAATGGGAGATTGTTTCAATAAATAATCAGAACGAAGGAGCTTGAAAGGGCAGCAGACACAAGGCAACACCACCTGCAAGTTCTCCTACAAGCCAAACAACCACCCTGACTTGGAACAATATCATTATTTCTTCACAGTTGCTGGGTCAAAATCCTGGAACTCCCTTCTTGACTCACTGTGGCTGTACCTCTCACATGAGGTGTAGCAGTTCATGAAGGCAATCAACCAACACCTTTTTCAAAGGATAATTAGGGATGGGCAATAAATGATGGCCAAACCAGTGATGCCCAAGGCCCACGAATGAACCTTTAAAAGTACAGGTTAGAATACGGTTTATCACTAACATCTTATTGCCGGGTTGACACCAGCCCTCCAATTCTCACTACATGTGGGTTTTGTATGCAAATAAAAATTCAGTGTGCTAGTATCTGTATGTCAGCGGGAAAATGACATTTGGCCCAATACATGTAAATGTTGTGCATATTCCTAATCTGACTATCAGATTAGTAACCTTGATTGGCTTGCAGTTTGTGGAAGCAAAGCAAACCTAGCCTAACCCAATTCACACAAGGCTTACTTAATTAGGGCTGGTGCCATTAGCAGCAGTAAACAAAACATAAAAAGTGGCTGAAGAAGTCTTGTTGCAACTTTTTAAGAGCATTGGTTAGGCTACAGATGGAATGGTGTGTGCAGTTCTGGCCACCACACAATCAGAAGGACACGATTACACTGGAAAGGGTACCAGGAGAGATTAACCAGGATGTTGCCTGGAATGTTAAGTCTCAGTTATGAGGAGAGACTGGATAAGCTGGGTTTGCTTTTCCTGGAGCAGGGGTTTAACGAAATTGAGAGACATTGACAAGGTAGGTAATGGGAATCTTTTCACCAGCAGGTGTTTAAGTGGTTTAGTGGGGATCTGAAGAAAATTTTCACCTAGAGGATGGTACAAACAGAACACAATGCCTGAAAAGGGTGATGGAGGCAGGTACTCTCGCAACATTTAATCATCTAGACAAGCACTTAAAGCCAAGTAAAAACACCTATACAGCGTCTTTAGAAAAGAACGGTTACCCGAAAAGCATAGTCCGCCAATATCTACACAACAGGAAGACAACACATCCAGAGACACTAGTCATGCTACCATATATCAAGGACATCTGAAATGACCACCAGATTACTCTGCCCCCTGGGAATCATGGTAGCCCAAAAACCGACGGCTACTGACGAGAATAAAGGATCCAACAACAACTAACAGAACAAATGTTATTTGCAAGATACCTTGCAAAGGCTGCCAAAAAACATTACACAGGACAAACCAGAAGGAAACTAGCCATCAGGATTCATAAGCACCAACTAGCTACCAAGAGACATGACCAACTATCACACATTTCATGGACAAAGAGGGACACCAATTCGACTGGCACAATGCAGCCATCCTAGGCCAAGCCAAGCAAAGACACAAGAATTCCTAGAGATCTGGCACTCAAACTGGAACCCCATTAACAAACATGTAGAGCTGGACCCGATATACCAACCACTAAGAAACAAATCCGGAAGTGATGCCACCCACCCCAGCAAACCAAGACACACAAATAGCAAGTGTGACAGAACACTGAAGCTTCACTGGAGGCACACTGATGTTACCTGGTATGGTAACGAAACGTTTGCAAACAAACTTACCAGCTCAGCGAGCAAGTCAATAACCACAAGCACTTAAATGGCAGTACAGAATAGGTTACAAGCAAAGGAGGAGGGGAATGGAACTAATTAGTTTGGTTGGCACTGACATGGTGGGCTGAAGGGCCTGTTTCTATGCTGTATGGCTGTGCTAGAATTCGATTCAGTATTTTCCTGTTTTAGATTGCCTCTTCATGTCCAAGGAAAATATACCTTTTCCTCATTTTAGAAAAAAAAAGTTACTCCAATGAATGCCACCAGAACATTTCAACTTCAATTGAGTAACGTGGTCATGATTGCATAAATGCAGTGTACTTCAAATTCCAAATTTTAAGGTTTAGTGACTTAGAATTTATTATAATGCAAATCATAATAGCAGCACTGGAATTATTCTTCAATGCACTCATGTAAATGTGATAGCAGAATAATGTAGATGCCATAAATTTTACATTCAATGTGGTAGTACTCAGCAGACATGTCAGCAATTTGTGGAGAGAAACACAAGTTAATGTTTCAGAGCTTTTTTCACAAAGGGCCATCAAACTGACATTAATTCTCTATGGATAAAGCCAGATCTGCTCAGTATTTCTAACATTTGTTCTTATGTCATAAAAGAATGTTGCCACTTTCAAAAACAGCTATCGCAAATCACGTCAAAAGTGCATCGATTGGCATATTTTCAGAAGTGTTAGATAGTCAACTGTATCAATAGATCAAATTGTTTTGATATTTTCATGCCAATATGCAAAGCCAGAAGTAAATGAGCATTTACAATTTACTATTTATGACTAAATTTTTAACATGTAATTAATTGCAATAAAAGTTTGTCAATTAAAAAACTTGATAATCACAACTAGTTCTGGAGGGACTGGAGATTTTTGCACTTCACAGCATTGGAGAGGACGCTACAAGTCTCTGGATCAGTAGAGAAAGAATAGTTGGGGTGCACAGCACAAGATAGGGGACTGAAGAAATTGATTGCATCAGAATGTCACTCATACCAATGTGTTAGTTTGGTATTTCACTTTAACAGCAAGACTTGAAATCGTACCAAATTATTATGAAAATGTCTGCTTGGCTTATTCAGTACTACTTCTAATTCTGAAGCAGAAAGTTGTAGGTTTAAGATCTATTTTGGCATGTCTGCACACACGTGCACAAAAACTATACTGGCACTTCAGTGCTATGCTGGAGTGTGCTATGGATGCCATGTTAAATTGATGCTGGCACTTCAGGGAGAGTGTCATCAGCACAGGAACAGACCCTTCCGTCCAACCGGTCCATGCTGAACATAATCCCAAACTAAACTAGTCCCACCTGCCTGCTCCTGGCCCATATCCTTCTAAACCTTTCTTGTTCATATACTTATCCAAATGTCTTTTAAACATTGTAATTGTACCCACATCCACCACTTCCTCAGGAAGCTCATTTCACATATGACCCCCTCTAAAAAATTTACCTGTCGTCTTCAAGACTTCTCTCCTTAAAAATGTACCCCCTTGTCTTGAAATCCCCCATCTTAGGGGGAAGACAAATCTATACCTCATTATTTTACAAACTTCTATCAGGTCATCTCTCAACCTCCAACACTCCAGTGAAAAACGTCCTAGCCTTTCTTTGTAACTCAAACCTTCCATACCCGACATCATCTCTTCAGCCCCCTCCAGCTTAATAATATCCTTCCTATAACTGGGCAACTAGAACTGGACAGTATTCTAGAACAGGCCTCAATGTCCTATATGACCTCAACATGACTTCCCAATTCCTATACTCAAAAAAGGAGTGAGCAATGAAGGCAAGCATGCCAAACAGCTTTTTAAACCACCCTGTCCATATGCGATGCAAACAATGAATTATGTACCTGCACCCCCAGGTCTCTAGTGACAACACTATCCAAAGCTCTACTGTTAATTATGTAAGCTTACCCTTGTTTGTTGTACCAAAATGCAATACCTTACATTTATTCAGATTGAACTCCATCTGCCATTTCTCAGCCTATTGACCCATTTGATCAAGATCCCTATAATCTTAGAAAACCTTCCTCGCTGTATACTACGCCACCAATTCTGGTGTCATCCAGAAAAATAAAAAACAACTTGCTAACCATGCCTTCTATATTCTCATCCAAATCATTAACATCTTATTTATATAAAAGTTCCCTTGCACTACTCAAATCACAACTTTCCTCAATTCTGTGGTCAACATCCTTCCTTCAGACACCAGTAGGTTATTCATCACAGTGCTTTTTGTACAATGGCAGACTCTGGTCTACATTATAGTCACTGCATGGAGAGGTATTCATAGTGAGGCATTTTAAGAAATTTGATAAAAGGCAAGTCTTTTCACAAACTCTTTGGCTACAATTCTTAATTTACATTGAAATGCTGGTTAAATATCAGATTGGCTACAAATGTTCAGGTAACAAGCAAACAAAATCCCAAAAGCCTTTCAGAAATCCTACCAGCAGTCAAACTTGTGCAAGAATAATTCTTGAATCTAATGAATAGGCAAATAGTAGAATCACAGAATGGTTACAGCACAGGAGGCCAATCATTCAGTTATGTTTGTGTTGCCCCCTGAAGAAACAATTCACCTAGTGCCATTTTCTCTAATAGAGTTTTCCCTCACTCTATGGATACGATTCTCAAATGTTTCCAGAATGTGAAACGTTGAACTATAAATATAAAGCAAATTGCATGCCATTTCTAGAATGTGAAACAAATTATGCCTCAGAATTCTTTTCCGAGAAAGTAGTGGTTCCGAGTCAAATTTATTTACAGCTGAGTTACAGTTTTGATAGATGTCAATTGTTATGGGCCACAGATGAGAAGGCAGAGCAGAGATGCAATCTGATCAGCCATGATCACATTGAATGGCACAACAGACTCAAATGTTTGAATATACTAAGTTAGTTGCAGGGAACTAACGTTTCTGAACCTATATTATGGCACAGACTGTGTTAATAATAGCTTAAGGACAAGGAATTTCTGAAACATGTCATCAGAACTTAAAATCAGTCTGTTTCCATTCCAAGGGGACAACTGGTTCACACTGGTGACATGATGGTTGAAATATCTATCATAGGCAAAATTCAATGGCACATGCGTTGCCATCTACTAGGACATTATGCATACACTATACATTGCATATAATTAGCATTAAGGAACAATTGTGTAAATGCATCATCCTACCATATGGTGGCTTCTTGTGTGATGCACGTCTCTTCTTAGTTTCCTTTCTATTTATTACTTTCCAAAACACATTTGAGCAAGCTTCACAGGTGACAGTTTCTCTGTAATCCTCTCCAGAGTTTGTTGAGATACCATCAGGTTCATCACAGGATAATTCAAAAATTTCTTCCTCATTCCCATCATGGTTTTGGGGACTTGGACCTCCTATTTGGGAAATTGGTTGCTTTACAGTAAAGAACAGAGTGTCAGCATTTGACATCAGGTTCTCTTTTGCCTTCCTCAGAAGAGGGTTCCATTTTAGATTGGATTCTTCAGCAAGAAGTCTCGCAGTTTCAGATTCACTGCTGCAAGTGCTAGTGGTGGCTCTGCCACTGTCACTATTTTTCAGCACCACTTGTTCAGATAAGGTGGAACACTCTGTTAAATTCTCCAATCCTAGGAAGTTGCCCAAATCTTTGCTTGTTGTGGTAGGAGCAAAATGGTCATCCTCCAGAGCTGTTTTCTGAACTTTTTCTTTGGTCCCAAACAAAGAACGATACCTGTAGCAAATGTAATAGAAAACAGTAAAAATGAAACTTTCAGGTTGGCAAACAAAAAGAAAAACTGACCAAAGTTTATAACTCAATTATTGACCTGTTTCCATTTACAATCAAATCTTTCTTGCTGGTTTGGTTTCAAATTACTAACTAGAAGCACTTGCACAAGATTCTTAAATTCAAGTTGGAGAGCAAGACAAAGCCAAGATTTACTGTAGAGCTACACAGTACATAAAACATAGTACACATCCTCAAAGAAGAAAGCCCAAAAACCCCTCTTTCTTGAAGAGAATGTGACTTGTGTATACACAACATTAGTGATTGCATTGTCCAGGGATTGAACAGAATATTGTTGCTGTAATTTGTTCACTGGAATTGACACAAGCTAGTTCTCTTCTACATTTCAAACTGGGGAAGAAACATTTTAAAACTCAGGCTATAAATATAACTGGGTTAAAGTTGAGAAAAGACAATTAATATATCTCTGTTCACTCTCAAATTGAACCTTTTTCTACCAAAATAAAAAAAGGACACAACATTCTGATGACTTTCCTATTTCCAACAAATCTATGTGCTAAGTAAATAGCACATGAATTTGGATATTTTGGCACTGAGAATTGTGGAAGTCAGACTGGAAGGAATTTAAGGGCTTCTTTAAACAAAGTTGGAATATACTTGGGAAGCAATGAAATAGTAGAGATCCATGGATAGGAGAGAAGGTAAGAAACTGGACTGTGGAGGAAACAAATGGAGGGAAGAAAGAGAATGGATTTGAGGGAATCGTTCAGAAGTCGTTTCCTTACATCCATTTTTGAGGAGTATTCCAGGCATTTCTTGAAGATGATCCTTCAGTCCCTACCAAGATCCCACCTTCTGTGTTGAGCTTTAAAAGAGAGACAGAGAAATTCACCCAATAATATGAAACTGCTGAGAATGCCACAAAGAACAGAACTGAAGGAGGTCGACCTATGGATGAAATATGTTAGATGGCAGTGAGGAGAGAAACCAAAATATAATTGAAGACTAGAAGAGAATGATGGAAGGAGGTTATAGAGAGGAGGAAAGAGATTTTTAAAAGCTGCATAATGGACTCCATCATGGACATTTACTTAAACACGAATTACCCAATTTGCTGTTTGCAATAAGGTTGACAAGATCAAAAAGTGTTAAGTTAGAGTGTGATTGTGAGAAAAACCAACTAAGGTTAAGTTGCTCTTCAAGAAAATTCTGAAGGTGTACGTTATTTTTATTGCCAAGAGCAAACACCATAACGCTCAACTTGGTGAAATATGAACTGCCAAAAAAAATTAGATTAATTGTTCAACAAGTACGTTTGGGTTTGCTCTCATTTTGTTTGAGGAGCAGAACTTAGACTGTACTGGGGTGGGAAATGATATTACTTTGCTGGGTAGAAGGGCAAAAATAAAGGGTAAGGACCAGATAACCAAGTCAATAGTAACAGAGGTGAAAATTCATAACAACTGAATGCAATTAGGAGGAAGGGGTGGAAAATTGTTTCTAAATGGGAAAACTGCAATAGTAGGACTGTTGTAATGTATGGTGAAGGAGATGGAACAGTGGTCATAGATAACAATCTCATGGGCACAGACAGTGGCTTTCTTTATAAAATCTTACTTCAGGTCCCAATATAGCAACTGTCAAACAGAAGTATAAATTTCACCATGACCACCACCTCTAGTTTTGTTTTTAAAAAGACTTTTTTAAAAATCAGTAATGGCATTTCCAGGCTCCAGGGCCATCATACCACTCAGGGAATCTTCTCTGAGGAATGATGCCTTCCAATGTGGAAAATAACCTCAATGTGAGGTTATGTACTTTGGCAGGAAGAATAGAGGAGCTAGACATTATTTCAATTGAGAAAACTATAACATAGAGGGATTTGCAGGGCCACATGCGTAAGTCTCAAAACAAAAACTAGCATATAAGTTCAGCAGATATGGGGGTAAATGGGGCATGAATAATGAAATGTTCACCTTTATTTCTAAGCTGATGGAGAATATAAATAGGGAAGTTTCGCTAAGACCATACAAGGCCACAGATGATATACTGTGAACAGTTTTAACACCCTTATCTAAGGAAAGACATACTGGCATTGGAGGCCACCCAGAGAAAGTACACTTGTCTGATACCAGGCAAGGAAGGATTGTCTTATTGAGAGTTTGGGCCTATACTCATTGGTGTTTAGAAGAATGAGACACAACCTTATTGAAGCATACAAAATTCTTACGATACTTGACAGGGTTAGTACAGTAAGGTTGTTTCTCCTTGTGGGAAGAGCCTAGAATCAGAACGCATAGTCTCAAAACAAGGAGTCACATACATAAAACATAAACCAGGAGGAATTTCTTCTCCGACGATCGTGAATTTTTACCGCAGGCTGTGGAGGCTGGATCATTAACTATATTCAAAGACCGAAGTGGACAGTAATAATCAGTAAGGGAATCAAGGGTTAGGGGGGAAAGGCAGGAAAGTAGAGTTGAGGATTATCAGATCAGTTGTGATCTCTCTGAATTACAGAGAAGGCTCAAATGGACTGAGTGGCCAACTTCTGCTTCTCCATCTAATGGTCTTAACATGGTGAGGCCGATCATCCTGACTGAGTTTCAACACTTCTCCAGTACCGAAGCCTACAATAAATCGACCTAAGATTGCTCTCTGTGCAGTTCACCTGCTCAACAAAGCGAAATATTATAAATGGAGAAACCAGAGAAAGCACTGTGCGAAGAAACCCTTACAATTCTCTGAAGGCGCTCTCCACCTCTTCTTGACCAAGAGAGTTGTTTTGCCGCAAAGTGTAAACAGTTCGCTCGGTACCACCAACACATCGCCGGAGTTGCCTCCGCATCATCCACATTCAGCGCGAGGCAGCGCCCAGCCTAACCGAAACACGCGCGCCCGAATCGCCAGCCACCCCCTGACGCGTACGATTGGTTCACCCCGCTGTCGATCACTTCCACTCATCCAACAGCAGTGAGGTCAAGCGACACACTTCCCACCCATAAGACAAACCGCCAGTTCCAGTCCACTCAAACTAGCGCTTTCTATCAGATTAATACGCCATCAATCGCATGACCGTCCAATAAAAGCAGGGCCGGGTTTTGTTCCCACCCACGTAATGACGGTACAACTCGTTCCATTACACGGACGCTCACGTCTGCACGTCATCTCTTCCGATTGGGTTATTTTCCTGTCAATCACACGCAAATGTCAAATAGAATGCGTCAGGGCAGGCAGGGTCTTTCGGGTCACCGGACCCGAAACGATAACTTTGTTTTTTCCTTCACAGATGCTGCTAGACCTGCTGAGCTTTCCCAGCAGCTTTGTCTTTATTCCTGATTTATAGCATCCGCAGTTCTTTCGGTTTTTAGTAAGCGTCAGTAGCTTATTTTGATACTCCGCCCACAATGGGTAATCTGTTTGGGCTATACCACCGTCAATCATACACATCTATCCAATCGAGGCAAAGAAAAGGGAGGTTATTGGTTTGAATCGGCGGGTGGGTGGTTTAATTTTCCTACAGCTGTAACAACATGGGAAAGGGATAAACATTTTATTGGTGTTTATCGTTCACACCAGTAACAGCTAAGATGGCTTTTTTTTAAACTTGGAAGTCAGTGACAATGTAACCTCTCAACCAAGCGGGAACCCGGGCATGAAATAATCAGCATCAGAGGAGCCGGAAAGCTGACGTTTCGGGTCGAGACTCTTCTTTTTCTGAAGGGTCTCGACCCGAAACGTCAGCTTTCCGGCTCTTCTGATGCTGCTTGGTCTGCTGTGTTCATCCAGCTCTACATCGTGTTATCTCAGATTCTCCAGCATCGGCAATTCCTACTATCTCATGAAATAATAAGATTATTTTCAGATATTGAAAGTTTTGTGCTTGCTGCTCTTCTGAGTGCGGAGTCTTTTGATTTTTCTGGAACCCAAAGGTTTTACTGCTGCAGTTATGTGTACTGGCACCTGTGCAAATTTCCACGAAATCAAAAGACGTTCTGAGGAAGGGTCACCGGACCCGAAACGTTAACTCTGTTTTCTCCTCCACAGATGCTGCCAGACCTGCTGAGCTTTTCCAGCAACTTTGTTTTTGTTCCCATTTACAGTATGTTTTATTTAGTGTAACAAAGTTCAACCAACATTTATTTTTGATGGATTTAATGAGGTTTCTTTATCTGAAATTTATCTGGTCAAATGATTGCCTACTACTGGTCTGATTGCTCATTCCATCACTCTTCCAATTGATTCGAAGCTAAATGGTCAGATATTATAATTTCTTATCCAAATCTATACATTGTTTCTATTGACCATATGCTTGTTTTTCAGATTTTATTACCAGAATAACATTCATAGTTTTCAACTCTTAATTTCAGATGCTTACCGGTCTTTCAACTTCTTTCCAGTCCAAGCTCTTCAATTTCTGTTTCCTACTTTCCACCTTCTCACAACAACTTTCATTCAGGGTGGAATTTTCAGAGCTTAAGGCCATCATCACTGTGTTTTGGTTTGTGTATCCTTGAGTCAGGTACTGCATAGCCAGTTGGAGAAAATTGCTTTGAACAACTGGTACTAGGCAAACAGCAAGAGGCAAGTATTTGGTTTTCAATATGGCAGCACCACTAAGAATTGGGGAGGGATCTGGCCAAAGTAAAACCAAGTAAAAGCAAAATGCTGTAAACTCTGGAAATCTGAAATAAACAAAGCACTGAAGAAACTCAGCATATCTAGCAGCATCTTTGGAGAGAGAGAGAGTTAATTTTGAGTCATTTTGGACTTGAACAGTTATTGCATTCATTGAGTGCATACTCATCTTTACAGAAACCTCCATTCCTGAATTCAAAAGTCCCTGAAGATAATATTAGAAAAACACAGCCAGATAATCAACATGCATTAGGAGGAATCACATATTAGTGTTTCAGGTTTGAGCTCATTATCAAAATTATTTTGGATTCAAAAATACAATTTGAGCTTTCTGTTGCCGCATAGTGGAGTATTGGAGCAGAACTTTGACAGATGTACATTTGTACATCCTCTGGACATTATTTTTACTTGTACCATTACCACTCCCTCTAGCTGTTATCCACCAAATCTTTTGTCATTTAATATATCTTGTAACTCCATCTCAGACATTTTTGTTCTATTTCCATTCTCCCTCTTTTCACCTTTCAACAGCTACTGCATTGTATTTCTAACCTTTTCCAGTTCTGATGAAAGGTCACAACCTAAACTGTTAGATGCTTCTCTCTCTACAGATACTACGAGACCTGCTGAGTATTTACAGCATTTTCTGTTGTTAGACTGGGTTTACATGTGATGATCATCCTCAATCATCCTTGAGACAACAAATTTCGCTTGAAGCTTTTAACTGTAAATTAAATTATAAATTTAGTGCTTTTCCTTGGGGAACAATTCCAATTAAAATACTGATTAGTACTAATTATTTTTTTCTTGACCATTAGAGATTATAGAAACAAAGAAGAGAGGAGTAGGCCATTCAACCACTTCATGGGCTGATCATTGAACTCAGTAGGCTAATCTCACCCTCTTCCCCCAAATCCCTTGATCTCTTTAGCTACAAGAGCTATATTTTCCTCCTCCTTGAAAACAATAATGCTCTTCAATTAGCTAATAAGAGAGGTATTTTTCACGTCTCAACATTCAAAATGATACGTCTTCTCCAGATTCTTTATATAATCACATACATGGTACTGAAGTAATTATATATTTATACAGGTTAATACAATGTGAATATCCAGTTCATAATTCATATGTTTTAGAATATAACTTTTGTTTTGGAAATTAGAGTTTAGTTGCAGATGAATGGTCCATCTGATTGAGAAACTGATATTCATTTCAACTAATTCAATTCAAACAAACTTGGAGTTAATGAGATAACAAGGTGTAGAGCTGGTTGAACGCAGCAGGCCAAGCAGCATCAGAGGAGCAGGAAAGCTGACGTTTAGGG